CTTCTCCAAATCTCCGCCCGACCGCCGAGCCTCGGATTTGCAGCCACCCAGCCGCCTTGGCGCGCTCAGATGGACTGCTGCCGTCTCTGTGCAATGCAGCGGGGTGAAACCAGTGTGAGACCGACCTGAGAGGGCACCGTAAACGGAATGGGCTGGGTCAGAGAGACCGTGGGAGGCTTCGGCCAGCCCCAGTCACAGTTCACACCAAGGCGGTAAAGAACGGGGAAATGGCACCGCCCGGTTCCTCTCGCCCCATACCCTGTACTAATTGAGACGTGTGGCATCATTCTCTCCGACTTTCCACTGTTTTGATTTGATTCCGAAAACCCCACCCCCAATCCACCTTTTCGGTGACCGGAGAGCCATTCCTTCTGCCCAGCTCTTAACATCCCTTACACGGAACACGGAAGACGTCTGCTGCCAGGGTTCTTATCCAAAGGACTTTCTGTGATCGGCTTCCACCGGCCACGTGGATAGGGGGGCGCAGAGTTTTGCCCCTAATTCTTCCTGCCTCCTAGGAGGGCTGCAGCCACGCATGAGTGAGGAAAGCAGGTCTGCGGTCCTGTTGTTTCTAGATACAGGGGAAAGCTCGCAGGAGCGGGTAAAGCGAGAAGGCCGTATTCAGCCCTAACAGAAACCGCAGGGTAACTGCAACACTCTTAGGTCGCCTGCATTCCGCTGTTCTACCATAATTCCCTCCCCCCTCCCCCCACACCTTGGCCCCCTTGCAACCGAATTTCTGTCTACCGGCCTGGAACTGAGCAAAGTCACTGGGAGGAGGAAAAGAGGAGGTGGAAAGGTGAAAAATCACGCAGAGCTTAATTCTTAAATAAGAGGTTCGGGAGCTCCGGCCGGCTTAGAGTTCACGCCATTTGACAAGAAAAGTCATCTCCTTTTAATCCTGCATATATATGGATGCATGGGGAGGGGGGAGTCAATACTCTGTACATGCTCCAAGGCACTCTCCACTACTGGTTCACACACTCTGGAGCAAAACTGGCACTGACAACCGGCCACGAGGGGCCTTGAGGCGGAACCCCGGCTTCGGTGTGGATTGAGCTGTGTCGCAGCCCACCCTGGGCTGGCGAGGAGGAGGAGGAGGTGTGAACACATATCTTGTTCTTCTCGTTCTCCTTCCCCCTCAGCACCTGCACGGTCTGGCTGGGTCCCAGCGGAGCAGGGAACGCGCACCGCGACTAATCCTTGCTCAGACTCGGGTCTCCTCGGGCAACCCCGCCTGTCGCCACTTAATCACCCCCATCCCGCGTCCCTCCCCAGCTGCGCATGGGAAAGGCGGGCACCTTTGGCTGGCGCTGGGTAACGGAGACCAAACGCGCTAAGAAGGGGGGCCGCCTCAGGCAGAGATCGGCGCTCGGAAGGGGCGCCTGCAGTCCCGAGGCGCTTGAGCGCGCTCGCCGGCGTCCGCCTGCCTCTCTCCGTGGCTTCCGCCCTGCAGTTCCCGCGACGCCTGTGCCTGAGCGCATGGCCTGCGGCCGTCGCACGCCCGGGAGCGCCGGGTGCGCGACCCGGGACCGGGGGGCAGAGCGTCGCGGCTGCCGCACAGCCCTCAACGGAGCCGCAGGGCTGTCCAGCCCCCCCCCCCCCGGAAGGGGTCGGCCGGAGGGGTCCGTGGCCGCCCGGCCGGGCTCCAGGTGCTGCCGGACGCCAACTGCCTTCGCCCGGGCAGCGGCGCCGGGAGCGGGCGCCCAACGACATGCGGGGGCGAGCGGCTCCAGAGAGTACGGCGGGCAAAAGCGGGTCAGAACATCGGCCTTGAACTTCAGTGGGCCGGCAACCCAAATGAGCAGGAACTCCACCTCGAAGAGCTGGTCTTTTATAAATAACTAAACCATCCTCTCTTGCTCTCAGAGTTGAAATGTTCGTTACGTTTCGGTACCTTAATGTTGAAAAGCATTTTAAGTTTCAGCTAAGCTTGTCAGTTTCACTTCCTCAACAGGTAGAGAATCCATCCAAATAACCCTTCGCGCTGCGAATTATATTGCATGAGGTTTATCCCCTCTGAATGGGGTGTGTGTGTGGAAATATCAAGCAAAAGACTTGATATTTCCAAAGGAAAATCCACAGAAAATAAGTGGGCGTGTTTTATCCCATATGTTACGTATTTATTAAGTTCACAATGCAACATAGAGAAATCACTTCATCTCCAGTTATTTGTGGGCTGCTTTGGAAAGAGTTGTTGGGATGATTTGACAAAGAATTGCTGATTCCAAAGGGCTTGATTGGTTTGGATGGTGTCACACCCCCTTCCCACTTAACTCTCCAGGGGTGTTACCTAATTGTATCTACCCTTGTTATGAAGCCAGTGTGTTGTTATATCCCACTTTTGCCATTTGTACCAAAAATATATACAATGACTTCAAAGAAGAAGAAGGGAAGTTAGTACCCTCTCTGTTATGATAGTTACACCAAATCTGCCCCAACATTTTTCAAATATGTGATCTTCTGCTTTATTGTAACAGTTAATGTCCACAACACATCCCCAAGCCATATTAGCTTGCTTTACTTTTAAGGGAAAAAAAACCTGGGTACTGTTTTAAGCTGCATATACTGTTAAAAACAACCCAACTATCTGGTGGAATAAAAATGAAATAATAATTTATAACCTTCCACTACCATCATATTTTAAATTATACCAACTTTCTAGACATATCAAATACAAAGACAAAAGCAGATTTAAAGACTACAATTATTTTGCTAGCTAACTTCTCCAGTGCTAAAGGTAAAATCCTTTGGATCTGAAATGCTTTAGGCAATGATTCTAAATAAATTTCCTTGGAAATGAGTTCATCTGAAAGCAACAGGGCGCTTCTTTTGCTACAAATGAATGGAATCCAGTTCCAACAAATGCACGGGCACTTTGCCACTGGCCTTCTCTGCCAGTGCAGTTATACAGAGAAGCCCCAAGGACTTGGATGAGAGTCACTGCCTTACAGGGCTGCAGTTTTAATGTTTACTATTGGGGTGCCAGAGGAGGTAGGCTAATGCAATATTTCAGTCCTGACTGTCCCTTGAAATATCTTCACTTAAATTTCCTCTGATATCACAATATTCAACAAGGAGCTATTTCCAAGTAAATTAGTTAGGGAAACTCTGATCATTAGGTTTTTATGGTCCCAGCTTTTGCTTTTGACTTTGTTATCAGCCTAGAATGGCAGAATTAGGATGCCTACATTTCATAAATATTCACTTCCTAGAAGCTCTTGTCAAGTGACCAGTTAAAGAAGAGGTGCCAAGTCAATTTGACAGAGATGGAGGATTTCCAGAAGGTAATGGCCAACAAAGCCCCAGGATGGTTTGGCCTCCAGCCTGTCCAGCTGCGGGGAATACGGAGCGTTTGAGGGCAATTAAGATGGGAAAGTTACTGCCAAACTTCAGATTCCCCCCCCCCCACGCGAGAAAGGCTTGCGCTCTTTAAGGTTTGCGCGCTCCCAGAGACCAAGAATGAAGAGGGGCGGAGGTGCATATTCACACCGTATATAACCCATCAAAGTTTTGGTTGGACGCCAATCCAATTATAGTCATTAAAAGGCAGCTCAGTGAGATAAAGTGCAGCGGGCCAGCGCTCCCGCCTCCCCATCCCTGGAAATAAAATCGATCTCCTCCTGCCATAGGAGCGGCCTACAGAGGTGTAAAGCTAATGTACGAGACTTGTGGGAGTTCCCGCCTCTTCCCTTTTCTCATATCCCCCAGGAAGGATGAGAGAGACAAGGGCTTTCATTAGTCTGAATTTTATTAACGGGATATGTAGATAAAAGGGGAGGATTTGCCTTACATTTCAACAGGTGGCTGTTGGATTAACGGCGTAATCGACTTTACAGTTTCTCTCTTTTCCCGCTTCCGTCCCCAAGATCAAAGCTGGCCAAAAACGTACTCGGAGACGGATGCTCAGGTGCGTGAGGGGTGTTCAAGCGGCACCGCACTGACGAGAAACGACACGGACCCCTTCGCGGATGGCTCATTCCAGCCCGCACTCTGTGCCCCCTTCCCACTGTCCTCGCCCTTTCCCTCCGCGCCCTCGAACTCGCATTTTCTCGCCTGTGGCCAAACTGGGCATTCCACTCCTTCCCAATGAACACTTTAGCAGAACTTTAACTCCCCTCTCCCCACGAAGTGTTGCAGGGGTCCGTCATGGATGGGGGGAAAGATGTGGGTTTCCTTCGTTTTCTGCACATTAGCCTCAAGGTAAGAGCTCACCTTCACCTCAGTTAATCAACTAAAAATTAAAAAGGGTCGCTGGAACTGACCTAATAATACACTATTTACACGATTCCTGCCGCTTTTTGCAATGCAATCCTAAGAGAGGAGGGGAAAGGAGTCTCCAAAGGAGGGAGTGGAATTAAGAGCTATACACAAAAGTTTGCAGCCGGCCAAAAAGAAAAAGGGCTTCCCCTCGCCCATCTTTCCGCGGGCTCGAGTCGGCGTCACGAAGCTGATACGGCTGGGGAAGGAGTGATCTCTCTCTCGTTCGAGTGTGTGCGCGCGCGTGTACAATGCACCTGTTAAAAGGAGAATGATTCTCAATTTAAAGTCCTCTTCTGTTCTGCTTTAAAAACAAAAGTACAATGTGGAACATAATCCCAGAGAGCGAATAAATAACACACCAGGAGTCAAGTTGATGGGATGGAGGCGGCGGAGGCGTGTTGAGAAGCATAAAGAGCAGGACGTCTGATCCAGCAGCCTTTGGCCACGTGTTTGATTGCAGGGAGGGGAAGGGGCTGGAGCGGGCATTTTATTTGGACGCGGTTCCTCCCTTTCCTTTTCTTAAAAAAATAACGATGATTTGATCAACTGTCGTGAATGGGAACAGACCTATGGGGCCGGAGGAGGCATTGGTGGAGGGCGAAGAAAGCCGGATACATGCCAGGACGGCGAAAGCGAGGCCGCCCCGGGGCTGAGGAAAGGGAGGCTGGGTCTGGGTGCTGGCGGGGCGAGCGCGCTGCTTTCCCCTCGCCTCGCTTTCCGTCCGTCCGTCCGTCGCTTCACAGGACTTGGAAACGCCACGAGGCCTGGTCCTTGTAGTCCAGGCAGTCTGGGGAGTTGAAGTTGAGCTTCCAGGAAGAAGCCGCGGCGGGGGCCGGCTCCTTGTAGTCCAGGCAGTCGGAGGAGTTGAAGGCCAGCCCGGTGCCGCCGTAGCCCGGCTGGTGGTGGTGGTGGTGATGGTGGTGGTGGTGCCCGGAGCCCGGGCTGAGCGGGTGGTGCGCGTGCGGGTGCGCGCCGGCCATGGAGGAGGGCGCCATGGGGCTGAGCTGGTGCGCGTGCGCGTGCATGGGCAAGTAGGAGCCACAGTCCACGCCGCTGAAGTAGGACGACGAGGGCGGCGGCGGCGGCGGCGCGGGGTAGCCCTGCCCGTAGCCGCCGCCCTGCCCGTAGGACATCGGGTAGGAGGCGGACGAGGCGCCGGAGACCGAGCGCTGCATGCACGAGGCTCCGCTGGGCGCCAGGGGCTCCGGCACGGCGCTGGGCGAGATGGACGCCGGGCTCCAGATGGACGAGGCCGCCACGGCAGAGGGCGCGCTGCTGAGCGAGGCGGCGGCCGACGAGGCCGACCCCGCTCCCGCGCCGCCGGCGGGGTTGCTCAGGGCCGCTCCCCCGGCAGCCGGGCCCGAGGAGCTGGAGCTGGAGGAGGACGACGAGGCGGAGCTGGAGACGGCAGGCGGCGTGAACTGCCCGCTGCTCTCCGAGCCGGAGCTCTCCCGCGCCGGGGAGGCCTTCTTCTTGGCGGGCCGGCTCTTGGCGCCGCTGCCGCTCTGCTGCTGCTGCCTGCACTTGGCGCGGCGGTTCTTGAACCACACCTGTGGAGGAAGGCAAGAGGGGAGAAGGAGGCGTTGGCCCATCAGTCCCCGCAATTCCCGCCTGCGGCCATTTATGAATAAATCAGTGGGCCCGGCCTCTCTCTCCTGCCCCTGCCGGAGGCACGACAACCCCTCCCAGGTCGCAGGAATGCGCTCCCTACAGTCGCTGCTGGTCCTTCTCGGGTCTCCCTCCTTCCATCCGAGGAAACAACCTGGCCGTGGCAAAACAGCTGCCAAACTACGTGCCTCCGAGCAAGTGCGGAGAGCGGCCCTGAAGTGCGTGTCCGAGTTAGTCTATCCTCCTCCACTGCGCGCCCACGGGCTTTGCCTTATCTCCCACTCCCTGTGGGTGGCGATCAGAAGCCCTCAAGGCAGCTGAGGACATTCCTTCCCCGTCATGCCCCTCTTTCTAGCTTTGCCCACCATTATCTTCAGGTGAGTCTGGCAGGGAGGCACCTAGCAAGTCACTGTTGCTACCCAAAATGGACCCCACCCAAACAATTATGGAGGGGGCACTCCTGAAGCAGAAACTACATGCTACCAAGCCATATACTAGCAAAACCCACTCCAAACCCACCTTTCTCACTACTGCCAACACCCCACCCACACACCCAAGCACCTGTGGTGGTTTGCTGGATTTCTCTCTATTACACTGGCCAGCCTCCCCACCAGCAGTCTCTCACAAATACAGGGCAGCCAGTCTCCTCCCACTATGCAGTCAAAATTAGAGGTATGTCTATACTCATTCCACCACCACAATCACAGCCAGCTCTATGCACAGCCAATTTGCTCAACTTTAATAATCCTAAATTACAAGCTGATGGTGCTGCACACAGGTCATCATGTGTCTTTTTCCCACTTACACCCTATAAAGTGGAGGAGGGGAAAGCCAACCATCAATGCTCCTAAAAATCTCCCTAGCAGAAGAAATATGCAGGAAGGATGGTGCATCAAAAGTCAGATGCAAGCAGACAGAAGCACAGCATCGCAACAGTCGCTAATAAAGCATCCTAATCTAGGAAGTCTAGTTCTTAATCTAGGAAAAAAATGTTTATCTCCTGTACCTTCCCAGGCTTACAGAGAAGGAAAGGCATTAACAATCAGGTTTTCAATCCATGGTTTTCAACAGAGAACCTAGCTCGTGCACAAGTCAACAGCAAACAGCACCCATATTACAAGTCCTGTTGCAAACCCATGCATTCCTTCTCGTATCAGCCAGCCATTTACCTCCTCTATACTGTCCAAACTTTCTAGAGAATGACTCTGCTTGCAAGTTGTATGGAACGTACACCATAAACCAAATCCTAAATAAATCCATAAATCTCAGTAGCCACTAGTGCACTAGACACTTGTTCCCAACCAATTTTGGAAAAGAGGCAAAAAAGAATCTATTGCTCAGCTGCCAATCTGAAAGGGTATCAGCATGATACAATTTCCAGCAACTTTATGAAGAGTGTACAAATGTACTTGGAACTACTTTTTATTCCTAGGATAAGTGTAGCTCATCTACTTGAGAAAGACTTTTCCAGTCACAGTTCCCCTTAACAGGAAATTCATATTATAATCAGCATAACATTCATCCCACATTGCAAGGGTGTACAACCCAGTCAATGCCCAGTTCTATGAAGTACCCTATTGCAGCTAGCTCTTCAAAGAAAATCATAGTACAGTGTTCCAAGACAGTGTCATGCAGAATGCCTCCCATAGTAGATCATTTCAGCTGCCTTCTGACAGTGTGATGGTGGCTTTGCTGCTGCACCATTCACTTTGAGTCTTGGTTCCACCCCAGGTCACCACCCCAACCACACTGCATAGGTCTCTTGGAAAAACACTCAGCTCATCCTTGTAATTATTTGAAAGACAAGAGATGGAGTGCCCTAGAGTTATTTTCCATCAAAAAGCAAACAATTTCTAAGCGAAGAATTCAGTGGAGCAATCCAAGTTCTCAAGATGCCATTTATGGAATTCTGGAGACCTACATGTCCATCTCTGGTATGTGTTCCTGTGTAATCTCGGCAAGCCTCTATGAATCTCAGATGCCACCCCTAAATAGTGAATTGTATAATTTTGTGCTACAAAATCTAGATACACAACTTCCCATGGTCAAGGTGTGTGACAACTGACCATGCAATCTACTTTGGTGCACATATATCTACTGACCATGCAATCTACTTTGGTGCACCAGCAGGAAAATATAGACCGCACTGAAATATCATAATCACATATATTCCTACAATTCTAATTCCCTTTTCCTTATGCTTAAATGCTTTCCATGTAGAAACTCACTAAAGCTTTAACCAGGCCTTGGAGAGAAAGAGGATGTGGACAATGAACAAATAGGAAGAATCTGACTTATAAAAGGTGGAGTTATATTTTAATTGCACACACACTGACACCCTAAATAGCTAGTTTGGTGCCTGACCTGTTCAGTCAATCACAACCTTTCCAAACCTCAATAGAAAAGGTCAGGAAGTACTTTTGATGGCTTGTCTCAGAACCTTGGAAATGTAATCAAAGGATACACCTTATCTAGCCTTTGACCAAACAAGGCTAGATTCAGTAAGGAACAGAGCATCTAGGATGGAGGATGTGATACCAAATCTAGATGAGGGGGGATACTATAAGTTCCAGCAGCCGAGCCTTACTGCACTGAAAAGAAAAATAAAGGCCCTTCTTTCCCTTTTTAACACAGAAGCATCAACAATAGGTTCAAAATAGAACTGACTTCCCTATATGTTTCTGCTGCACACCCTACAACATCTGCATGAATATCAAACTTAGCATTGTCTCCCAGAGATGCCCTTGTTGTCTGTTGGGGCATCATCATGACACTGGAGAGAAAAACATGTCCTTTTCATGTAGTTTTAATTTCTAAAACCAAACTGCATTTTTAAAAACAGCTTTCCTCACACTAATTTAGGCGCCCAAAGGACTAATAACCTGTCAAATCAGAGCTGTTTACCCCTAAATCTTTCAGAAACAACTAAGACTCTATGGCCTGGGTCTCAAATCAACATCCGAGATAAAATTCTGCTGAAGGAGAGGGAAGATGCATGCATATGAGAGACAGCGAAAGAGAGAGGTGTGGAAAGATTAAGACAGGAAGTGTTTCACACAGTAAGACCTGAGAACTAGGTTTCATGTTGTTTTCAGTTAACAATATGTAGACAACAGCACTCAAAAACTTTAATTGGGACGCAACCTCTAAAAAACCTCTAAAAATGATGTTGCTTCTACCAAGCAAGGTGGTAATTTTCACAAAATTTTGAGAAAATTTTGAGAATAAGCTCCAGTGATACTTCCTAGTAAACAAGTTGAGGGTAGTACTACAAACGTTTTTAAGGACAGGGTGCCAAATTGCTTGATTTTATTATTTTTGGTTTAATATACTGTTACTTGGAAGTATTTTAAAGAAACTTGCTTCAGATTCAGAATGTTCAGGCACTCCTAATCTTATACCCTGAAGGTGAATTTCAGGGGGGAAAGTTCGACTTGATTACAATTGTGCACAGTCCAGTATAAGTTAATCACGCTTTAAAATTAAATCTTAAGGCTGCAGCCTTATCTACATTTACTTGGAAGTAAGCCACCCTGAACGCAATGGCTACAGGGGAATCCTATATATGTCTACTTCTGAGTAGACATATATAGGAGTGCCCTGGGAGTATGCTTACTTGGTAGTTCAGTTCAATTGAACTCAGATCTTATCACCGAGCAGACAAGTTTAAACCAGAGTTAGAATTCCCACGGTAGCTAAAGTAGAATTAGTTGCTTCTACCTTTTACGGGAATGTGCTCACTGAAATGTGCTCAGGATTGGGTAATTATGATTGGTGAGTGAGATTTTCTAGTAAAAATCACTAGAAATTACCAATCTCTCTCTGTAGAGATAAGAGATTGGAGGTGCCTAACTGCCATAAACAGGAAAGGGAGAAATAAACAAGTACTCCCCTATGTCCTTGAGACTGGCAAGTCCCTGTCTAGTTACTGTAACATTTCAGGTGGCATTCACCTTAAGTGTCAAAGAGTGAATTGCTCCTTCCTGGAATCAATGGCCAAGAGAGGCCAAGAAAGCTAAAGCAAGGCTTGCAAGTCCCATTTCCCTGTGGACAAAGCATCCTTCCCTCCTTTTTCCCATCCCAGTATCACTTCTTGCATAAGCCACCAGACCTGGACTCTGGATTCTGGAAGGTTGATCTTCAGCGCCACTTCCTCTCTCATGAATATGTCTGGGTAGCGGGTTTTGGCAAAAAGTGCCTCCAAAACATCCAGCTGTGACCGGGTGAAGGTGGTGCGCTCTCGACGTTGTTTCCGAGGAGTGGCTGCAACCACAGGGCAACAGAAGATGGGACAGAAAGACAAGTGGTATTTAGCGTCTCTGTTGTACTCAAAGATCTCCCACCTCCATTTCTACCAGCCTGCTGCCCAATTCTACAGCCAACTCACAGCCCATCAGTCCCTTGACAAATTCATTCACACCCATGCACTACAAACACATTGATTTATGTGCAACAGGCAGGGCAATTCCCACAAGGGAATCAGGAAGAGGACTAAACACTCAAGGAAGGCAGGAGGAGGAAATAACTAATTAGCTTTATACAGTCTAAACATAAATAACACAAAGCAGTCAAGGGAGGATGAGGAGAGGTATTCTAGCTGGGCACAACAGGCCAGCCACTGAAAAGAATTTCCCTTTGGATTATGGCTGGAACCAACACCTGAAGATGACTGAGCTTCATGAATGGCCTCCAATGTACAACTAAAACTCTGACTTTCAGTTATCTGAATTTCTAGGCAATAGCTCAGTTGAAACAGGAGAGCCTGTGCTTCAACAGAATATTTCCAACCAAGCACTAAGCACATTAACTTGGAGGTAAATTCCACTAATTCTACAAGAGGTCCTTCTAAGAATGGCTGCAGTCCTGAGCAAGGAGTAAATCCAATTGCATTTAGCCGAGCTTACTTTAGAGGAAAAGTGTTTAGATTCGCAATGTAAATCTACAATCTTGCACTGGGAGTAAGTTCCGTTTAAGTTAGTACAGATCACCTTTGGATGAGCTGTGTGAGTTTTCCAGAGTCTCTGAAGGCGACAGAGCCCATTATTCAAAATAACAAGGATAGGGAAAGAAAATACTTCCCCAAATCAGGGCTTTTAGTGTTACTGTGCTACGATTAGATAAAAAAGTATGCACAATACCCCAAATACCGCAGATTTGCCTATATACTTATCTGAAGGGGGCGACACAGATATGAATGCATACAGAAGTATTTAGGGTCTGTAGGACAAGCAATCAAGGTAAGAGTATGGAAAGAATTAGGAGTATTTCCTGACCCAAGTAGGCTATCCAATTCACGATCAAAAATCTTCTCCCTTCCCATTACTTTTTAATGGAAAATTAACTTAGAATAATTAAAATTTAAAAGCAGGGAAAGTTAGCTTTGGTTTTACCTCTATCAGACTTCTCAATCTGCTGAATAATTATACAAATAGTTTTTAAACATCCACACACAGACATTTGTTTTAGCCTTAAAATGGTTACCACTAGTTTTCTAGCAAGACAACAGAACTCAGGGTCCTAAAGAACAAGTCAAGTTCTGAAGCTCTGCAACTTACACATTGGATCGTTAACACTTCACTTAAGTAGTTACCATTTATTTTAATGGAAATTGTCAAGAAATTTTAAAAATAATCACTTTAGAAGAAAAGTAAATAGCAATATTTATCCATTGCTATTAGGCCACAATCCTAAGCTTTCTTAGGTAGATCTCAACTCCATTAACCATTAGCTAATTTCCAATAAAGGGATACTAGGACACTGTACCTATGGAGGGAAAGCGCAAGTAATTCCATCCAGGAAAATGTTAAGTAGCTGCCTTTTAAAAATCATCTATGCAAGGCCACCATAAAGGTTCTTAAATCCCTTCTCTCTTACATACAACTGCTAGAGCAAATGGACGTACTGCTCTTTTGTTTCTGCGGCTTCCCAGATCCGCTTAACCTGCCTGCTTAAGAGTTTGTGGAGGAAAGAGAAAGAGAGCTGATGCTCACCCGGATACCCCACCGAAGGGTGCAGAAGGTCCATTGCAGGTCCTGCCAGCCCCAGCCCATTCATGCCATAGGGGGGCTGTTTGAGGTAAGACATCATGCTAAAAGCTGGAAAGATTTTCCCAATTTATCCACACACAAATTTTAAAATCTCTTATGATGTTTCTTAAAATTCTTGGGTTTTGTTTGTTTATAAGACACAATCTTCCACTGAGATGACTGAAGGATTTCCTAGGGCAGGAGAGCCTCTCACAGCACTGTACAAGAACAAAACATAACAGAACAAAACACAAAACATAAAGAACAAGACAAGTGTCAGCAACTTTGGGGAAGTTTCCAAATATAACACACTTATTTTTTTTCTCCTCACTTGCCAGTGTGTGCGTACACAATGGTCAGATTGAAATATTCTTATTTTACTTTTAAATAAAAGCTGATTTTTAGTTGTGATAAAAATGCATATATGGCAATGGATGGTGCCCCGAGTAGAAAGACTCTTCCTTAGGCACACATGGAAATTAAATGACTTAAGACTGCTAATTAAAAATGGAAGTAAAGTTAGTCCAAAAACTTTGAAAAAAACAGTAAAAGTTGTACTGAAAGACAGTCAGGTAGAAGTCTCTCAAAAAGGAGATTAAAAAATCTGTATTTTCATTAGATAGTTTTAGGGGATTCTTTTTTAAGGACAACGACAACAAAAGTCAACTCTGTCAATATGGCGGCATCTCCTGTGAACTGCCAAAGTGAAACTAGAAAGTGCCCGGAGTGAAATGTAACAGAAGGGTCAGTAAGGAAAATGGGATCATCATCATCATCATCATCATCATCATCAATACTACTACTACTACTTTAGCAGTCACATTACCATCAAGGGGTCTGAGGGAGTACAGTATTCAGTGAGGAGGAAGATAAAGCAATTATTTAAAAAGATAACTGGATTAGAAATCAAACTGAGACAAAAAAGAATAAAGTATAATTAATTTAAGAGAGAGCAGAAGGGGGCACCTTAATTAGAAATGTCTAATGGTGTAAAACCGATTTTTGGAGATGGTTTGAAATTCATACTGAAAGGACCTCTTTCGACAGACAACAGACAGGAAGCCATAAGGAACGGTGCAAGACAGCAATCCAGTGAAATTTACACATTCCCTCACTAGGCAGACTTGAATTCTGGGAGTATGAAGGAGAGAGGAGTGGTGGTTCAGTCTTAAACTTGCTTATTTGGAAGTATGGATAATTTAAAACAGTGGAATTTACTTCCAAGGAAATGTATTGGGCGTATGCTGTATATTTTTGCAATAACCGAATGTCAGTATTCCGCACTGTATTCCAGGTGTTATAGTTCTGTTTTAATTCTACAACCCCTCAGGTATTTGTTCTTTCTCCACATTATTTCATTCCAAGAATCTATAAGAAGGATTAGTGAACTTGATGAGCCAGCCTATATTATTTTTCCAGAAGCAAGAAGGGGAATTTTAGGTAAGATTCCTCATGTGGAGATCCAGAACTGTTTCATTCCCAAGTTGCTTCATTAGCTGAGGAGCAAATAAATGTTTAAATAGAATGAATAAATAAATTAAACAAATCAAGAGGATAAAACCCCAGATCCAGAAGCAGCAGATGGTGGTGGCATTAATCTTGATTATTCACTGGCCAGAAACTTTAATTGCAAGATGGGATATGTTTGTTCCAATATCCATGTTCACACAGAAATATTACCAAATTAAAACAAATAAAAATGGAGGAAGAGTGGGAAGTGGGATTTGAACTGAAGTTTATGAATTTATGGCACTTTGTTACAGCTAATACATTCGAAATGAATTTAGACAATCCATAATCCCAGGACTAACTAACCTGTTGCAGCTTTCCACAAGTTTAGATTTGATTTAAAGCGCTTTCCAGCTGGCTTTGTGAAAAGATTTCCTTTCCTTTCTTTATACAGATGATTACATGTAAATCCAGTCCAACTGATTTATTTTAGCTACCTGCGTGATAGCTAAAGCGGCAATGCTAAGCATGTACTTACTCAAGAGTAAATGCTTTTTCAAATCAGTGGCATTTCTTTTGGAGGAGTGAAACTCGGATTGGGTTTAGCCTTGAAAATGGCAAAACAAAAAGTTGATCTTTCTGTTTTGTCTTCAGTTGGAAGGTGATCCCAGTCTTTCGGTGAAATATATTTTCATGTTTTAAGTTCGTACCTCTTCGAATCCTGAGACTTCTTCAGTGGTCCTATTTATTTCCATTGTATTACCTTTCTTCCTCATGGGGCACTTGCAGAGTTGCGTTGCAGGAAAGGGTTCCAGCTTTTTTCGCCATAAGCGACCTTCCCTCTTTGCTTTTTCTTACAAACGCTCAGTTTCAGTAAAGGGCCATGGAAAGAGGGGTCTGAAGACAAGGTGCACTGGAAGAGGCCTAGGAATCCCCCGACCGAGCCCGAGCTGGCAGCGCTACGGCGAGGCCTGGGCGAGCCAGAGACACTGCCAGCGCCGTCCTGGGAAAGTCTGCGTAGAGCTCGCTCGCGTTCAGTGGGGCTTGCGCCCAGGTAAGCATGTACAGGATCGCAGCTTGCGTCTCCTTGCGGAAACGTCAGCGTGCGGCTTGCGTCCTCTCCCACGGGCGCAGTGACGGCAAGTGCGAAGCAACCCCCAGAGGAACCGCCAAGTCCACGCTCCAGTCCCGAGGAAACTTCGCCCTGCGGCGGGTCTCGGCCTCCCATCAGCACTCCGGACAGTCCGCCAAACTCACCTCTGGCTTTCCCTCCAGCGCCCTTCTGGCGTGCGGGGGCGCCGGCCTCGAGCGGCACGGCAGGCGAAGGGCCGCGCCGGGAGCGCCTCGCTGGCGACGGCGGGCCAGAGGGGACGCGCAGCCGGGCAGGCCGGGCGCGTGCCTCGGCCCAGCAGGGCGGGAGCAGGACCGGGCCGCGCTGCGCCGCGGGACGGCGGCCCGCCGCCGCGCGCCTCCGAGCTGCCTGGCGGGCTGAGCGGGCGCGGCGCGGCAGGGGGCGGAGGAGCAGGCGGCGCGGCGCGGCGCGGCTCCTGGCGCTCCCCCGCGCGGAGGCCTGCCTCGCTCGCTCGCTCGCTCGTCCGCACCTGAGGCGCGTGGGTCGCGGAGTCCCGTCGGCGCTCCCGCTTTCGGGGCGCGCTCGGAGCCCGGGCAAGAGCGGCCGGCGGGGCAAGGGGCAGCCTCCGCGAGCCGGGCAAGTCCGACAGCGGCGGGACCGCTTCGCTCGCTGTGCTTACCTGCAGCGTGTCCAGCTTTACAAGTGGAGGGAGAGGAGGAGAGCGGCGGTGCGAGGAGGGACAGCTATCCCTCGGCACAGCCAGGCCCCTTCCAGCCGGGGCTGGCAGGCAAGACGGGCGAGAAGTTCGGCGGGGAAGTTTCGGTCCGTGTGCCTTTCCACCTCCTCCAACTCTTCTTCCATCTCCCCGCCTCCTCTAAGCCAAGAGGGTTATTGCGTTGCAGCGTGCGCTGTTCCAGGCGGGCAGCAGGAGGAGGAGGAGGAGCGGGCAGGCTCCGTAACTTTATTTCGCAGACACACTTTTGCAAAGAGACGGCGATAACTTATTGCCCAAGTCCAGCTATTGGGCCAGTGGGAGGAAACCTGCTGGGGAGGGGACGAGAGCGGGGCGGGGGAAGAAAAGCAGTGGGGCTTTTCAAGTGTTGTTAGGACATCCAGGTAAAGGAGCGGAAAGTCCTGCCTCACCTGTGGGGGGGGGGGAGAAAGTGAAATAAATCAAGCGGTTTTTTACCTTGCCGCGGTAGCTGTCTTGCCCAGTTGTTTAGGTGATTGGAAATGTAGCCTGATGAAGATTGATCACCTTTCTACTGCCCTACCCATGTATGTGAGCGCAAGGCAAATGCGTAACCGAGCGCGGCGCCAATCCCCAGCCTCTCTGCCGCTGAGTGACAGCCGTCCGGGCAATGGCAGCGCGGGATGCCTGCCGCCGCCGCCGCACGCCCCCTCCCCCACTCCACCCCAGTCCCAGCCGCGCGCGCGGCAGCCTGCGCCGCCACAGCGGCAGCGCTGCTCGCAGCTCCCTCGGGGCAGTGGGCGGCCGGCCGTGGGGCGCCTCGGCAACCTGCTCCAGCGGACGACCCGCTCTCCCGCCTCAGCTGCCGGGCCGCGCGCGCCGCGCAGGGGATTTCCCCCGGCTGAATCCCGGGCTCGCTGGAGAAACGCGCCCCGCCGCCGGCCGCCATGCATCCGGCACGGGCGCCCTCGGACCAGGGTTCAGGCCCAGCCCCTCCGGCTCGCCCAGGCGCTGCCCCCACCCCCAAATTTCCCGTGCAGTCTCAGGGCCAGAACTTCCCGCAGAAGAGCGATCGCCACCCTCTCGCTCCCTCCACTGACTCGGGCTGCTGGACGCCCACCTTCCTCTCCTGCGCTTGAGCAATGGTCGTGGCATCCTACGCCCTGACTGGCTGATAACAAGAATGAATTGCACCGCTCCTTCAACGAAAGAAAGTTGGGTGTAGCTGAGCTTGGGACCCCGAGGTGCCCAATTTCTACACCTACTCGCTTGTTGCAGATTCAGTTTATTCCAACAGAACTCCCTGTGCAGAACGGCTGCTGCCATCCCGTGTAGGTGGGACTCGCTGGCCCTTGATGCCGACCCAATGTGCGTCGGACGACCTATTTACCTCTAAAAGTTCGACACTCTGGCGGGGCCAATGTAAATATAGAAATCACGATGGTCTCCTGGAAGGGCACCGGTTTCCCGCTTTGATTGCTAGGGAAGGACAGATTTTGAGAGAGGAGATGGTAACAATCGCTCTTCATATTTCAAAAAAGAATGCAAGTCGCTGTACATTCTGATTATACGTATAGTTGAACGGATTAATTAGATTGCTCTCCTCTGTAGGGACAAATAATAAGAGTGGTAATGATAATACGGGTCCCTGAGGTTTTCATTCGGATATTTTGCTCTTAGAGGTGAGCCTTCACCTGTCTTTCTCTCGACTCCCACCCGGTGCCTGTCGGTCATATGCCATATGACTATTGCAGTTCGAACACACGCTCCCATGGAATTAATCTGCCGGTCACTTACATCATTGGGTATGCCTAAGTAAGAATCAGCAGACAGCTAAACACGTGTACTC